TAATAGTGATTGCATAGATGTGGTATAGAAACTTTTTTCTCCTGTAAAAAAAAAAGACCCCATAAGTCTCAAATTTTTTACATACTAACTAAAACTTTTTCAGACTAAACTTTGAGAACCTTTAATAAAATCTGAAATTTTATATCGCTATACCTACAAACTATCTATCTACCTTGTAAGCCTGCAGGCTTATAATTTGTATTTGATTAGGGCTTAAAAGGGAGAAACTAACGACTGTACCGTCATTGGGAGAAAGTGAAGTCGTGAATGCATTTCAAATGCAAATAAAGGAAGTCTCGGGCGATCTCGCGACATTTTATGTAACGTCTACTTAGCAGTACTGTTTACTTTGTCGCTTCCTCCTCTTTCCTGCGTTATAAAAGCGGAGCGTGCTCACACCTCGCTGTTCACCTGATTTGATCGCAGGCTGAAAATGGACGCGCTCACCGTGCTGCCATCCAACTTCGGATATGTTATCCTCACGTACCTGTACAGCTGGATCATGCTGGGGTATTTGGCAGTTAAGGTTGGGGGAGCCAGAAAGAAGTACAACGTGAAAGTAAGTGAAAAACGAACACTGCACGCTCTGAAGTGATTTTTATTTGCATCTCGGGCTTATTTCACGCATGCTTGATATTTATTCTGCAGTATCCCACCATGTACAGCGACAAGGAGCAAGTCTTTAACTGCATCCAGAGGGCGCATCAGAACACCCTGGAAGTGTACCCTCAGTGGCTGGTTTTCCAGACCATCGCAGCTCTTGTTTACCCGGTAAATTTGATCATATACACTTAAATCAGTCTTCACTACTAAGTTTTTTGTTTTATGCATTTATTGTGTTAGTTCAGTGGGTCAGGGGCCGAGCAGGAACACGCCCGCGTGAACTTTGGCATGATTTTTCCAGATAACAGTCTAGTTCAAACGTTAGTGTCAGAGTGAATAAGCAGATTTTCCTCGATCACAGGGGTGTGTCCACGACTTTTTTTTCTCTGTGGTGGATTGGGGGTGCACAGTAAAACAGAAGTTATGGTCATAAATAAACAGAGTTTATAAAATATAAATCTAATAACGTTAAGTAGGTTAAAAATCTGGGATATCTCACTACAGATCACATAAGAACGGTTTACGATATATAGATAGCATGCAAATATCCTGTTAGGCAGGTTTGATGTATGTGCAGAGAGCGGGAAGATCCTTAGAGGAAAGTAAGTTTACAGAAAGTTTAAGTGGTCGATAATGACAGGTCAGTGAGGAAGTGAAATGTTTGTAGCTGCTGAAGTGAGCACAATTAAAGATGTCAGAAGAATTGTATTTGCAGGCTCAGTGCTTTTGAAAAACAGATTATTGTAGCAGATTACTAAATATAAAAAATTCAGTGCACATATCAGTGCACATATCAGACTCATCTGTGGAGTGGAGACTCTGGTGGAGCACTCTCTGTCTCTTTTTTTCTTTTTAGAAAAAAATCTGTGCATATGCTTGGTTTGTTACTTTATTTGATAACTGTTTGTTAGTAATGATTCAGGCCAAAGACCAGCGGTTACTCAAAGACCTCACTGAACCTGTTAGAGCCCCTGATACCTGTGAGAGTGCATGACAAAGAAAGAGAGACAAGAAGGCATTTAGACACTTATGACAGTAGGAGGAGTGTTTGAATAGAGGTAAATGATCTCAAATAAATAAATAGATGCGATCTTTATGTATGTTCATGGACACAAATCACCATATATTTATATGATGGTTTTCCAGACAAAGCGGTGAAATGTTGAAATACCTCATGAAAGGGCTTCAGCACATATAGCGATTGTTATTTTAACCAAAATTGCAATCTTTTTCTGACCTTGACCCGGTAGTTTTTAATGCCTTAACAAACCCAATGAAGGCATTTTTAATTAATAATATAAAAAAGGGCAGCACAGTGGCATGGTGGTTAGCACTGTTGCCTTATAGCAAGAAGGTCTTTTTGTGTGGAGTTTGCGTGTTCTCCCCGGGGCCTCCGACTTCCTCCCACAGTCCAAAGACATGTACTTAGTGGGGTACGGTAAATAGGTGATTCTAAATTGCCCATGTGAATGTGAGTGCATATGGTTGTCTGTCCCTCTGTGATAGACTGGCACGGTGTACCCTGTCTCTCACCCTGTGACCCTGATAAGGATAAACAGAAGAGAAAGGATGGGATATAAAAATAAAATGATATGAATGCAATGTGTGAATCTGTGGTGTGTAGGACCCAAACTGGATAATTATCGATTCGTTAATGTGTACTTGTGTTTAATATTCCAGGTAGAAGTAATTGTACTTTATATTCTGCTGGATGGTCATATCTTTAATAATTCATTATATTTTTAGGATATTGTTTTATAATGTGCTGAAAGTAGCACAACAGGAATATTTAAATAAAATAAAAGTAGTTTAAATCTATATTTAAGTTGAATTCATGAGTAATGTAATGATTCTGTGTGTACTTTATATCAGCGGCTTTGGTGAGGGGCAGCTGTGCCCTCATCTGGAAACTCTCCTGACTTCCTCCATTCTTTCTAACTCTTATTTGTGTGCACTTCTAACCAGCTGTCCGCATCTGTCTTGGGGGTTATTTGGGTGACCAGCAGGTTTTCCTATGCCTGGGGCTACTACACAGGAGGTAAGACTGAAATTAAGTGAATGGAGTCATGATACGTAAAATTTATACACTCACGTTAATATTTTATTAATAAATAAAGAGTTATGTTAGTATTAACCCCTAATCAATACCACAATCAGTAATGTCTACATTGGGTTGGTGTCTACAATTATGCCATGTCATAATATGCATGATATGGCAGTTGGACAGATGTTCAGAGCTGAAGTCCAGGTGCTGCAAGAGTTACAGCCCTGTGATAGTCTGAGCAGTTTTATTGCTCAGTATCTACGTTGTTTAATCATTTACATTTGATAACATATGGGTGAAAAGTTACTAAGCTAAGAAGTCAATGATCTGCATTATTAATGGAAGCAAAACATTTAAATGATCATGTGTTCAGAACTTCAGAGAAGACAGAAAAGTTTAGCCTCGTTTTCTTCGTATAATCCTGATTTGATCAATGTTTACTTTGTCCTTTTTATTGCAGATCCTGCCAAGAGGATGAACGGTGCTTACGGCTACATTGGCTATTTCGGAGTCATCATTCTCTCCATATCTGTTGCCCTGCAGCTGCTCGGCTTCCTCTAAGATGACTGTCATCTTGTGTTTGCCCATCTTACTGAAGAATCTGCTCGTGTATAGTGAACAATATTGCATCTTAACAAAACCATGCTATAAACTGTCTATATACGACTTAAAACCTTTTTTATGAACCACTAACCTGATATTCTGATATTTCTGTGACTATATACTCCATGTAATCAAAATTCTACAATAGTCATCAATAAAGTAAATGCTGTCTGATGGTGCAGCCTTAAATGGATTCTGCGTGCACTCAGGTAGTACAGATTATGGTCACTGAGAGGGTCAGAGGCAGCAGGGCTAAAGAGCGTGTCATGTGACTCACACATGAGGTATCAGGCGCAAATCCCCCATCTGTTCGAGCCCATAGTCAGTGGCTTCTAGATGATCTACATCCTGAGAAACAAGTCCACCAAGGTCAGCCCAAGATAATAAAGTCCTTTTTTTTATAACTACTGTACAATAGAATTACCACAGAAAATGTTGTTGTTTTTTTTAATTGACAGGGAATAAGTCCAGGTGATGAGCTGGTGGGGTGTTTTCTTTCATTTTGCGCACTAAAAGCTAAATAAAACTTCTTTTTTTTTTTCTATGTTAAAATGTTACAGCCCATATAGTTGTACAGAGGGGTTCCTTTGATGTATAAAAACTGAGATGTATTATTGGAAGTTAAGACATCTCATCTCTTTGCCATAGTTTAACAAAATGTAAGATACTTTGTTCAACAGACAGGAGCAGAGAAACCAAAATGTTATATTCTCATATGACGACGTGAGGTTTCAGGAGGTTAATTTGGGAATGAAAGAAGACAAAGGATGAAAGAAATAAGATGTACTTCATTTATCCCAAAAACTGAGAAACTAGTGTGTTACAGTCACCAAAACACAAAATAATTGTCTCTCAATAACACAAATTTAACCAGCTTAGAAAGATTACGCCCACACACACACACAACAATAACAAAATAAGGAGCTCAGTTAAATAAAGATAAAAGAAGTGAAGAGTTCAATAAACCCAAATCAAAATATCATACAACAAGGAGATTAATGAGTAAAATATATAAGGTCATGCTATATATGATTCCAATGGTTTATATGAATAAGATGTACTTTATTCCAATAATAAATAAAGTACATCTATATATGATTCCAGTGTTTTATTGGAATCATATATAGCATCGCTGTGATTTTAAAAAGGATAGTCAGAGGAATAAAGAGTGGGAGAGCTGTGTGACACAAGGAAAAAAGTAGGATTAACTGTTTTATTGGAATCCGGTAAAATAAGCCTAACGGGATATTGTTGTCTTTATTTGTTTTGTATGAACTCTGAATCTGAATTCTTTTGCAATTAATTGTTTAAATCATATAAAGAAATGTGGACAGAAATGTAAAGTATTTTATTGTATTAGAATAAAGTGCCACAATTCTACTTATATGTCACATATATATATTGATTATTATCATATCATATCATTCCCTTATATTATAAATAGCATATAAGTGTGCCAAATGTGCGGCCCAGTAACAGTAACTGGTCCTCCAGAGGATCCTGTTCAGCCCGCTCAATAGCTGTGCAAAGAGTGATGAACAGTGTTAAAATGCGCAGGTACTGTAGAGATGTGATGCCAACCTTATTTCAGAAACACTAGTGTCATTAATGAGTCATTAAATGGGAAACTGTGAATCCTTTTTATATTAATTGCACTTATTTAGAAAGCTACTATGCAATAATTTTACTGGTCAGTAACTGGAATTAGAAAGGAGAGATGTTTACAAATTCACACTTTATCCGTTGCTCCTGAAGGCAACAACATCAACAGCGTCTTTGATCGAAAAGGGTGTGGGTTGACTGCGCATGTGCATGACGAACCTCTGTCGGAAGCAAAGTCGGGTTTGTCCAAAGGTTTTACACACCAAAAAGCGAGAATAAAAGGTAGGGATTCCTTTGAAAATGGCACGAGGAACGGGTAACGCTGTCGGGATGTGTGTTTCTATCCGTTTCCACCGCTGTCGTTTGGCTCGTGGTATTTTTTCAGCAACTTCGTAGCGAGAAGAAACCTTCAAGGAAATGTTTGCTAGTACCAAAGCGATGAACAAAAGAAAGCGACAGCGCAGGGTTTTAATAAAACACACGAGCTTTGTTTGAGTTCCTAAAACTTATACCTGCTATTATCATCCCTTTAGGGGCTTAATGGATATTGCATGTGGCGATTAAACGGGATAAATGTGGAGTTACAGTATTGTTGGTGTTTGTGCGCGAGCACGAGCCTACTGTACGGCGCCTGCGCACTAATGGATTTTTGTGTCAGATTTCAGTCCACTTTTCTGACTTCGCTTATTGATTATTGGAAATAAGCATAATGAACAGCTGTTTTTCATGTTGCCCGCACTTACATTAGTGGAGTCAGGAATACACCTGGCTGGCTGTGGAAAGTGTGATGTCATCATTTATTTAAACTTTAATAAATCAGCTGTTCCTCCTGTACACAATGGGGTGGAAATTTTGCTGAGACACTTTTCCTTACTGCATTCAGTGACCTATTTTTACTGTTTTAAGAGTCACATAACGAGTCATCTGTGTCATTGTTGTTATGCATTCTCCAGACGGTGGCCTCCAGGGACGCTGTAATAATCTAGTAGCTGTGGCAACAGCCAGAGCGTTGATGTTCAGTTATTGAACCTAAAGTAGACTGCTTAGCATCATTATTTGAGTAGGTAGGTTTCCACGAGTCCTGAGGTTCAGGACAAATCCAGAGTACGTGTGTCCTCCACACCTCCATCAAAAGTCAATGGGAGCTGAAATCTACTCCCGGACAAGCTACTGTTCTGTCCGGTGTTATTTGTGTATTATTTTCAGTTGTATAATTTTGTTTTGTTTTGTTTTTTTACCAATTTCATTATTTTGCTATTTGTATTTTATTTCATTATACTGAACATTTAAAAACAAAATTATATTACTGTTTCGCCCCTTTTCCCCTCTTGACCTCCTTAATTCAATACATTTATTTGATATTTAACAAACAGTTTTAGCCTGTTGGGTTTTATAGTTTTTCTTTTCTGAACTTTTTAAATTTTTTATAGTCAGTGTATATATTCTATGAAAATATGTATTTAAGATTGAATTGAATTATTTTATTTCGATTTTTTTCTTATTCACCTTCTCATTGTATTATCTTCAGCTTTTTAAGGTTTGACTTGATTTGATTTTAACAGATTTTTATGTGTAATATTTATATTTTACATTTTACATTAATAAAAAGATATGTTATTTGTTTTTTTTTCAGACTGTTTAAACTGAGCTCCCTTTCTCTTAATTCAAATCCTGACTTACACCTACATTTACTTTTTTCCAGAGTCATGTCGGGATTTCTGGATGGGATCCGGTGCGGAGACTGTGAGTGTAATGTGGACTGGGGAGAGCGAAGAAACACAATTGCCTCTATAGCTGCTGGAGTCCTGGTATTTCCACTGATTTCTTCAAGACAATAAAGACATATATATAAATCTGTATAGAAGATTTTACATATTTACATAACCAGGGATGTTGTTTTTGCAGTTTTTCACCGGCTGGTGGATCATCATTGATGCTGCAGTGAAATACCCGGCACAGGATGAATTTCATCATGCATATCACACCTGTGGAGTCATCGCTACCGTGGCCTTTCTCATGTAAGACAGACTGCAGCTGTTTGGTGTTTCTGAAGCTTTAAAGCTCAACCTGCAGGTTTTCCAAATCACATGCGTAATATCACAGAGGAAGTAGAGCTGATGTCACATGACCTTAAAAAAAACCCAACAACAGCGATTTAGTCACGTAATAACTGGGAGTCGGGGGTTGTTGCCCCTTTCTGTTTTCAAGAGTGATTGATGACCCTGTCTAAGGTGACAGTGATACCAGTTTTGATCTTTTTATTCAGAGACATTTGTTAACATGTGAGTTAAATTCAAAATCCAAGTAAGATAATAATAATTCAATGAACAAACTGTACTCTGAGATCATGCTGATTTCTACTGCTGGTTTTGAGATGAGGGAGATAGAGGGAAACATCCGCATCCTGACCACTTACACCAGTCTGTGCCGATATAATCCAGTAGGAATGCAGAAAAAAGTTCTCCAATTCCTCTGTGATTATACCCCGGCACAGCAAAAAATAAGAAGGGGAAAAAGACGCTAATTCTAATTCTAAATCGTAAGTCCACAGTGTTTCTGCTTTTTTACACAGTGCCTGTTTGGTGCTCTCACTCTCACACACACAGAGCCAAGGGTGCACCGTGGTCATAACAATGCTCCTGGAATCTGGGTGAAAAAGTCAAGCATGAGGGTCATTACATTACTGAAACTACATTTTCTTACTCCTGTATTGATTACATTTATTCTTGATTATATTCTGATTAGAATTAAGCATGATTTAGTTCTCTGTATCACTGCAACCATAAAAAGGCTGGATGTTAAGTCCTCTTATTCCACTTTTGGATGAAGATAAGCCCAGGGATCTCAGTCTCTTCGACACCCCCTCCTTGAGATCGCTGGCTGCCTGTCATGGTGGTTAAGACGGGGGAGTCCACTTCATCAGCAGTGAACAGATGTTGCAAGGCCGATGAGCTGGTCCCCAGTTCTGTGGTCCAGCAGGGCCCTGAGTTGGTTCAAGGACCGTGGCCGGTCACCATCACTCATCTCGTGCTCTGCTCTTCCATCTACTCAATTTTCCTGATCTTGTATGTCCTCATCGACCTGGATGTTTTTGTAGCAACTTCCCTCATAGTAATCGTACTTGCACTCCCAGCTGGATGTTTGAATGGTGGCAGGTTTGGTCCAGCAAAAATAAAACCGCCATTAGGCAGATGTGTAGAGGTGATTTGGTGCCCATCAGGGTAGTAAACTCCATCAATATCCCTGCAGATTCCAGATACAGCAGATCTCCGCACTATATTGGCCCAGCTCAAAAAAGTTGGCTACTGGGACTGTTGGACTAAACTGGCAATCCATATGCAAGAAGATCCCCCACGCACTGTGGTGTTGGAGTTTATCTTTGTGGCACAATATGCACTGTAAGGCTGAAGTGACACTTCAGTGATACTTTGCACTATGAGCATCTGTTCCACACTGCATGCACCTGCTGCCCCCTCTGAACGGTCCTTTTCGGACTGTGCTTGTTTTGTTTTCGGCCATGGTTCCTTAATGTCCCAGGAGTTTCTTCCATAACCTGTTATAAGCTCCTCGGAGGTGCTGTTTTCCCTCCTCCTCATGTCCGAGGTCATCACTAATGGATTAATGACAAAACTTCTCTCCTGCCCCCCTGGAGCTTTACTGTGTGTAACCTGTGTAACTACACATGCCGCTGGTAGTGCCGTGTTTGCATCCTGTTCCTAAATATTACTTTTTCTGTAACTCAAGGTTGTACTCTCGTCAAAATAATCACTCTTGCTTATTTCTTTATGACTGCTAGTCTTAACACTGCTTTTTAGGCTAAATTCTCTTCAGCACAGCCACATTTGTATGTATTTATAAACCATTTCCATCCTTTTCTCTGGCATATGGTGGTAGCTCTGCTGTATTCTCTTGTATATACGCTTCTGGAGTCACCCCTTGCCTGGAGGTCTAATCTTCCCTATTCCTCGATCCCGTGAAAGAGTTTCTTTGTTACATCATCCAATTTATTTCATGCTTTTTCCAGCATCCTGTCTCTCTTTGTTATAAACCTTACAAAAGAAGACTCAACTTCATGTTGAAACACAGCTCTGTACTCTTTTTCTCTCTGACCTTGGATTGTCGTCACAATAATTCCTTACTCTCTTTTCAGCTTCTCTGTTTTTGCTAACTCGCTTTCACAAAACACACAAAAGGACATATGTTTCGAGTTTAAGCAAATATAAATGCTTCAAGTATTCAGTAATTTTGTCCCAAAATAAGGTTTAACGCCTTTTTTTCCCCTGCAAGATGTATTTCCACCACTCCTCTGTGCAGTTTCATAACTTTATATACTCCATAACATACATGTCCATGTTACTGATGCATTAAGTCAAGGAAGAGTTTAAAAAGGACTCTTACCCACGAGCACCTGAACAGGTTTAATCAGTTTGGGGTGTTTTTAGAGTCCTTTGAGTCCTCCTTGTGAAACGTGTCCTCAGAAAGATTTCAAACATTTAGTGGGTTTATGTTGATTCTTTTTCAACACTTTGTTAATCATAGTGAAATCTCTGTGCACACAGTGCTGTAACCTTCAGTCCGATGCATACAGTTCAGCTGTAGAGTTGTTATTTTTTGTAAAAAGCCAGACTTTGACCCTAATCAAGTCAGAAAGCAGCCTCATCTTAAGGCTTTAAGACGGGACTTGACAGTACCCATGTGTGGCACACTCTGAGAACCATGGAGGATTTTAGCGCTGGTGGATGAAGGAATTTTTGGTTTGCATGTAATAAACACATTTATACAACACTTACAGAGTTGACTGGCCTGGATAGGGTTTATAAATAACTTTTCTGCTCCAACAGTTATTAGTTAATGTTACTTTTTTCGGGTTGTAACATCTGAAGATTCTGCATTCTGCTTTTTTCCCTTTTAGGATAAATGCTGTTTCAAATGGCCAAGTGAGAGGAGACAGCTACAGCGAAGGCTGCATGGGACAGACAGGTGTGTGTCTGCTGTGATGACGACAGGTTGTCTATTTTCATTTAGCGATTATTTATTTAATGTCTCAGATCTGCTTTCTACTGTTCTTGTGGCGTGTATCTGCGCATGCAGTAAAACGCAACGTGGTAAACGAAGTTCGACACCACGTCACTCAGTGTCCCGCCCTTTCTTATCTTTTACTTGCAGGTGCTCGAGTGTGGCTCTTTATCGGCTTCATGCTGGCTTTTGGCTCCCTCATCGCCTCCATGTGGATTCTCTTTGGAGGATTTGTAGTGCCCCGTGAGTCCACTTTATCTGCTTAGCACTTTTCTACTTGGCCCAAGTGTTCAGCTGTGTTTTTAACTGTAGAAACTTTGGACTGGGAACTTTGGCACCTCAGTTATAATATGAATGAATATAATGGAAATAATTTGTATTTCCAGGTGGAGCCATATTTCCACGTAGTGACGTGCAGAGGCAAAGCTATAAACAAAAGTGTCCCTGTCTAAAAAGATCTAATTGTATTTATAAACAGCATAACTGTGGTCATATTACACAGTTATACAGTCCGCGTACCTGGACTCATCGATGTTTAGTTGTCTGTACGCAGCCGTTTCATAACCCAGCTATGAAGTGTGTATTTAAAAAGAGAAAGGCATGCGTTCTTTAATGTGATAATTTGAATAACTTGTCGCTTGGTAAGAGACGGTCTGAGTGAATCAGCGTCGTCTGCGGCGCGACCTGTGTTAGGATAGGCAGATAACGTTCACGCGTCAGTGTTTGCTGGGTGAAAATGAGGCTGTTTAGAGGGATGTTTGCTGCAGTAAGGAACTCTTGGATCAAAGCTGTGACGGCGTGATGCTGTAACTGACGCCGTAAACCTGTTGCGTCTTTTGCAGAGAAGCCCACTGTGTACCCTGGAATTGCTGTTTTCTTCCAAAATGCGTTCATTTTCTTCGGGTGAGTTGTTGAGTCCTCTTTCTCTCGTCCGTTTCAGGACAATGAAAACATCTCACTCATCTTATCGTTTTCCTCTTCAGGGGTTTGGTGTTCAAGTTTGGTCGTACAGAGGATCTCTGGCAGTAATGAACTCTGCGTGTCTCTTCATGTCCACAGTTATACACTCTGCTTTCTATACTGTATGAGACTGTATGCTTCAGTGGGTATTCACTTTATATATAAACTATTTCCTTTTTTTTTAGCCTTCAGATTAACATGTTTAATTTATCTGGTTTGCTGTATAAAAGCTAAATCATAATTAAGCACAAATCTTCATAGATTTCTTTAAAGTTTGAATATTTTCAAATGTGGTGTGTCTATTTGCAATCGGACTCTGTAGCCATGTTGTTAAAATGGTTTACTTATGCATAAACAAAATTGTGTATTTTGGGAGCTTCAAGACACTAAACTGTCTCCATCTCCTTTGTTTTATGGCATCCCCTAATTTGGCCTGCCTGCCAAGTGCACATTCCATAAGTGGTTATGGTACAAAATATTAACTGACGGATTTTTCGTAGATGTGTACACATACATGTTTCATTGAATGTAACCATGGGGGGTTGTTTGTAATTTTCCAGGAATAACACTATATCAGCTCTGAAAGTTTGCAGCAATCCAGATTTATTGTTGAGTTTCAGTTAGCCACAGTGCTGACCTCTGGCAGACAGAGGTTTCACATCTGTAGGGTGTCCTCTCAGTGCTGTGACTTTGTATTTGAATGCAACATCTGTCCATTCAGCTTGTGTAACACCCAGAGCATCAGGGCAGTGTTTCACAGCCATGGCAGCAATAAAAACATACTGAGCAGTAAATCAGTCTGACACTCCTCACTCCCGATTTTTATCCTCCTTTTTTTTTTTCCCCCCCTCACACAAAAAAATATATCCCACTACATTATTTTATAAAAGTCAGGAGAGAGTGTGAAATTATATACAGGGGTCTTCGTCTTCTTATTTGCGCACAGCCAGATGAGAAAACTGCAAAAACATGAAAACATTTTGTCTGTTTAAGGTTTTGTGAAGGTTTTAAAGTTCAGCATGGTGGAAAATATGTCAGAAATATCTTCAGACTTTAATTATTGAAAGGGAAGCATTAAAGAAGATGACTGCATACCTCCCAGAAGGCTTGATCATCAAAGCAATTCTTGTACTGGGGTGGTCTCCAAAACTTCAACCTGATAAGGAGCCCTTCAAACAAGGAGATGAAATTTATAAAGAAGACGGCGCACTGACTGTACCTGCTGCTGGAATAGAGGTTAAGGCATACCTGTAAGGATTCCCAGCGTCACACTCAGAGCGATGGTGATGAGGAGACTACAGATGTGAAATACAGCAAACCGGATCGCTCTGTCAGAAGAAGGAGGAAAGAAAAACAAATAATTAAGCAGGGTATTCCTTCTTTTACGTGTTGCAGTCCAACATCACGGGACCGTTTCATTCTTACACTGTGTGATCATCTGAGTCTTTGATCTGCAGGACAAGATGCGCTATCCATCCCAGTAGACCAGGAAGTGCATGACTGCTTAAGATAGCGCATGTGTCATGGCACTGAAATGCCAGCAGCATGTGGATCTGCGAAATAAGTTAACAGCTGAGTTTTATCATACAGACTGTGCAAGCTTGAGGCAAATGTCCACGTCTAGGAGGGGGTGAGGAAAACCTTAAGATACTGGAATCCAATGGATGATATTATGGCAGCAGCAAAGCCGATTATCATGGCTTCCCAAGGATGACGAACTGCTGACATGGAGACGCCGACAGCGACGCCACCAGCGAGGATGCAGGACTGCAGGTGGATCTGAAAGAAAATCAGACTTTTAGGTGCTTCACATGGTGACGAAGCTGAGCTTGCACTGCAAATTTTAATAAACACCAAAATGTGTTTAAATTAACCCCAATTTTTTAATAAGTCCACCAAAAGTTTGTGAATAACATAAACTTCATTTTTGTCATATATTAGGTTTCTGTGTTAACGCAGCCAGAACATCAAAAACACTTATGGCTTTAAAGCGTATTTAGGTGCTGATAATTGCAGTCCTCATTTTTTAAATAAAATACTGACAAAAATAATGTTCTACATCAGTCACTTTATTAGGTACGCCTGTTCATCTGCTCAGTAATGCAAATATATAATCAGCTAATCACATGGCAGTAGTTTAGTGCATTCAAACATGCAGGCATGGTCAAAAAGAAAGGGGATTCCCACTGGCTGAAAATGCTTTGAAAGGCAGTACAGTAACTCAAATATCACTCGTTACAACAAAGGTGTGCACAAGAGCGTCTCTGAATGCATAACACGTGGAACCTAGAAGCAGATGGTTTTACCAGCAGCAGAAGATCACACCAGGTGCCAGGAGACTGAGACTACAGTCCACACAAGCTGTTCAGAGTGTAACGGTGTCACACTCTGAGCCCCTCAGTGCCAACTAAGAATCTTTTAAATGCCACAGCCTGCCTGAGTGTTGTTGCTGACCATGTCCATCCCTTTATGATCACAACTTGCACATCTAAAACTGGTTTCTTGAGCATGGCGATGAGTTCACTGAACTCAAATGGTCTCCAAAAAATATCTCTGAAGAATGTTTCCTGCACCTTGATGAATCTGTGCCACAAAGAATTAAGACAGCTTATAAAGGAAAATGTGGTCCAACCTGACACTAGCAAGGTGTATCTAATAAAGTGGCAGATGAGGGCATTTTCCCATTAAAATATTAATAAAAGCCCTTCCTGTGGGGATAGTTTAAATGGGAAGGAAAGCAGTGTTTTCAGCTGTTCAGAGAGAGTAGAAATGAAAAAAAGCTAAAATGAAAGCAGATAAACTGATAGATCTTGACTTTAATGTTGCTGTAAGCCAGCAGCTGCTACCATATGTCTCTCTTTCTAACAGAGATGCCTGCAGGTAGCAGGGATTAGTCTAAAGAGCAGCACAGCATTTGGTCCACTGCATTTATTTTAGCTTTAGTTTTAAAGCAAAATGAGCAAAAACAGTTAGCTGTATTCAAACTGACTTTTTGTAGGCCAGTAAAAGTCTGTCTACTGGCACAGAGGGGAAGTTTTATGCTGGACACCTTATGTTGACATTGCACATAAAGTCTCATAATAATGTGCAAACATATCAAGTGTCAGGTCATACCAGGTGTAGTTTTCCCTTGGGGTTGGAGAGCACAGACATCGCAGCTGCTGTCACAGCACTAACGGCCAGGGCCAGGTAGGTGCTGCACACGGCTTCCAGCTTCCTCCCAGGAGTCCGATCATCCACGAGGACAGAGTTAAAACTGGGCCAAAACATCCAGAGGACAACAGTCCCTGGAGAGGAGAGACAGATTCAGCTGTACACAGATTCACTAGAGTGGAAATTAGCCAAATGATGCAGCAGATATCTGGGAAAGCTGTTACCTAACATGGAGAACAATCCCATCTTTGTGTCAAATTTCTCCTTTTCAAATCGCTGCTCTGAGCCTTTACGGTAAAGTGTCCCTGTCAGCATGAGTCCAAACAAGGACCCAAAGATGTGAAGCATCATGATGCTGATCAGAGGATGGGTCTAGAAGGACCAGAGAAACATTAGCAGCGGCATATCGATGTGAATACACTTTATCTAAAGATATGATATGAGGGTGAAACGTGGGCTTACGTTCAGGAGAAACTGCAGAAGCCATTTGTTTAGGATGAACCCTGACACCTCGAGCAGTCCAATAAGGATGAGGTGGACTGGGTTGGTCTTCCCCAGCACAGCTCCAATTGAAATGAGGGCTGAGGCAGTGCACATCTCAGCAACTATCAAGCTACAGCAAACAAGTTCCAGTTAAATTGATTTATATAAGCTCCTTTAGAGGAAATTATCTGCACCAACCGTTTCCTCCCACCTTTTCAGATCTATCCTGAGCCTTCCCCTGTAGTACAAGGACTCCACACCGTTCAGTATGAGGGCCCACTGGGTGGCCATGGCAGCCACAAGGAGGTTGAACCCGGAGCCACTGAAACCATGGCGCACTAGAAAAGTGCCCAAAAAGCCAAAGCCTAGAATCACTATCACATTCACATCCTGGAAGTCTGAAAAAGAAGAAGAGAAGGCACAAAAATAAACAGTTACAGCTGAATTTTAGCTGAGGACACAACACATTTACTCACGGGCTTATCAATGACCAACAAACGGCAGCTCCTCCCCACACTCTTGGACTGAAGTGTGTTTATTTCGCACACTAAAGCATGCACATGAAGTTAGTTTAAAAGATAGTTGCTTCATGAATTAGCTAATCAAAGTAAACACGAACATCTTTAACCTCATCTGACCTCAACACCCCCCTTCCAAGCTCACAAAAATAAAACTCACCTGGGTAACGTTTGCTGAAGTCATCAGCGTTTCCATTTCTTTCGATTTCAGTGTAAAAAGCAAATATGATGATAAACCCAGTCTGCAGGAAAAGCAGCAAGGGTGCCAGACGAGAGCGCAGGCTTGGTGCGTACTGAGGAGGCATTGAAGATGTTTGCTGCACAACTTCTCTTCACACTGATGCTCAGACAAACGGGCGCAACCCCACAGCACGCAGCTTCTCCTCTTTATCAGCTGCTGCGCATGAAAGCGTCTTGGCAAGACAGCGTGAGCTGTACTAATAGATTTGAATCAAATAAAAAAAAAATTCTAATTGTTTGTGGGGATAAGTGAAATATTTGGGGTATTTGAGGGAATATTTTGAAACATAAGGAAGTGAGCATGATGAAGCTTTATTATATCCCTATAGATAATAATAATTTTAAAAGGCACAAATAATTCATTTTTTAAGCAGAGACAACTGCGGCCCTCATTTTTTGCCGCACATGCCACACTATTTCAACCTGGTAACAAAGCATAAATGGCATTCATCTCCTTGGGGCAAGTCAGTCAGCGAAACACACACAAAGGCCGTGATATAAATACCCCCCGCCCCCCATGTCGGACTGGATGTTTTTGTATCAAGCACAAAGGGAATTTTGTCCCGAATACAGCATATTTGAGTCCTCATAATAAACCAAAGGCAGAAACATATAAGGGAAATACCCGCCCCCGCTGTCAGTTAATTGGCCGATCGGGGATGCCCAATTTGTTCACAACAATCTGATTGGTTGAACGCCAAGACGCTCCACAAACGGTGATGAGCGCTCAGTGAGCAGCCACTGAGGGCAGTGATTGGCTCTTCTGTGTATCTGTCAAAAAAGGAGTCCTTGACGGAAACGGTGATTGGTCGCACCGGCCGTCTGACAGCCACACTAGGTAAAACACAACGCGCTCTGGGCTTATTGAGCCTGCGCTAACAGAAAAGAGGAGGTTCCCCGAATAGTCATTTATTTATTTCTTTGTTTCAAGTGGGGAAAAAAATAATAACAACAGCGATATATATCACAAGCACCTTTATTTATTATCTCTGTCCGCACACGCAAGAAAACTGGATAAGATTACGGCGGGTACTCGAAGGCCAAAGCCAAGTGGAGGAGGATGAAGCGGCGCAATGCGGACTGCAGCAAACTCCGACGGCCGTTAAAACGGAACCGAATCACCGAGGGGATATACGGCAGGTAACTTACACGGAGCCTGCTCAACGAAGGGAAATGAATGGGTTGTTTGCGTTAATACGCCTCCCTAACCTCACAGCTGCTGCCACTTCTTGACAGCCTGTTAACCTAGCCAGGCAGCTAGCTCTAGTATGTTTTCGTTATATGCTACACTAGCATGTAAGCTAACTATAGCGCTAGGCCCCAAAACAGCCTGTTTTGAGCTTTGACTCCGGCTCCATAGCACAGTTACTAATTGAATTACACTGCAGCTGACTTTTTCATGATAACTAAAGAATCCCGGGTGTTAACTGTGCGCCAGAGTCAGCTGTCACTGGCTGAAGGTGCCAAAGTTAGCTGCTTCGCTGTTAGCAGGTCCACCAGCTTATTATTGCCAACATCATCACATGAGCCTCAACGACAGTGGTGTAACATTAACCACAAACGTGTCGATAAGGCTGCTGTCACTCGCTTTTAACAGCTCTCAGTGGCTTGGCTGTGCTTCCAGTCTCCAGCTGTGTGTGGCTTCATACATATTAACGTTAAAGGCCATTTAGTTTACACACGTGGCATGAGGACCTGGAAATGTGGGGCAATGTTTGAATTATTGAACAGGTGCCTCCCCCCGACATCAGAGCACCCCCAGTGGGCCACTTTCTGGGTCTCTAGCAAATGCAGGATAAAAGCAGCAAGAGGTTAGAGCAGTGTTTATATCCCTGCTGCAGTGTGGCACTGATGTCATATCCAAATCTTCAGCTCCAGGTACACATCTTACTTCATTCTCCTACAGTCTTTGTCAGCAGAGAAATCGTCTTCCAACTTCTTGTGCCCAAGGCAAAACAAAAGTCTTGAGCCACTCCTCATGTTTTTTTGCGTCCAAGGAGCCAGATGTACTTGTAATAGTTCTCCAGGCTTTCTGAAGTTAGTTTAAAAACATTTTGCACTTTGGCTGTTTTTTTTTTGTTTTTTTTCCCACGTTTTCAGTCCAGTCCTTCTACTGGACCATGTTCAGAGGAATGCTTTCCAATCTTGACCTATGAATCCTTCAAGAAAAAAATAGTTACCTAACTGAACCAGTGTTGTGTCTACAGACAACTGGCAAAAAGAAAAATTAAATTGTAAAGAAGCATGAGATGCAGACCAGATGCAGTCCCGAGAACTGCATCTGGTCCTTCAGTTGATCGTTTAATGTTGGCTGAAGCCTCGTCAGAAATGCTGTCAGTGGAAGGGTGGCTGCCAAGAAGCCATTCTTAAGGAAGAGAAATGGGGCAAAAAGGCTGAGATATGCCAAATTACACTAGAACTGTACTTAAGATCAGTGGCAACAGCTTCATTTCTCAGGATGACAGTTATCCCTGACAGACTGCCCATCCAGTAAAAGTGTACCAGGGCAGTCATGGATTGGCCTCGCCAGAACCTGGACCTCCACATGATTGAAGCATGGTGGGATTGTCTTATGAGAGACAACAGAACACAAGGGAGCCAACATCCAGAGAAGAGCTTTGATTTTCCTCCAGGAAGCCTGGAAAACTATTTCTTAGGGCTGCTTTAAGAAATTGCAGGGATTTCTTGAGGAGCGTCCAGGCTGTGTTGAAGAATAAATTGCTACACTTCTTTCCCATTTTCCTAGCAAAATATAAATAAGGAAGGGATGGCTCTAGACTTTTGCTCAGTACTATATTTTCACATGTAGGCACTATCAAGGTTTTTTTTTTTTTTTGGCTATATTTTCCCACAATCAAACACATGTTCTTGCTGCCTGGGGTTCAGGTTCTTTGCTCTGTCACAGCAGGCAGAAGAGAGATTTGGTTTCCAAGTGCCTCTTTGAAATTGCTTGGCACTGTTGTCCAGCTGAAGCCATGAGATAGGAAGCTTTAGTCAGGCTTTTTTTTTTTGTGCTTCTGGTGGTTTTTGTTCAAACAAGAAAGTGAGCAGTTGTACCTCCTCACAGTTTTTATTCTCACTATTATTGAGTGCATCTGATGTGAACTAATAACTATAAACTCATAATTGCTTTTTGTGCATTTATGGAAATACTTGCTTGAGAAAATCTACGCTGCAACAAATGTCATTGCCAGTCTAGACTCTTAAATTTTCTTGTGTGTTTGTGTTGGAAAACAGTTTTCTGTCATTCAGGGTTTTTTGTTTTTGTTTGTAAATGTATTTCTAGTACCTTCCTGTACCTGAAGTTCCTGGTGGTCTGGGCACTGGTGCTACTGGCAGATTTTGTACTTGAGTTCAGGTTTGAGTACCTCTGGCCATTCTGGCTCTTCATCCGGAGCGTGTACGACTCCTTTAGATACCAGGGGCTGGTGAGTAGATGACTTAAAGTATGGACTACACACTGAACAACTGAAATGATGCACAGAATTTACATAGTCTGATTTGCAGCCAAAAGAATAGAACAGTACCACACATTAAAAAAAAAAAAAGTAACATAGATAAAAAGTAATCAGAATTTTTCAAAAATGGGTGTTCAGTCAGGTTTTAGTAGGGTCTTATGATGGAGGGGGCCTCATATGTAGGGGCAATTTCCTCTGTAGTTAACGAACAGCTACTGCAAAGGCCTGACTTCGTATATTTTTTTAATCCAAACTTCTGGGGAACCAGAATCCTTTGTTCAGTTCACTGATGTGTGCGAATACAAGGCCATACCTATAGATATGATAGAACTGAAGTCATTGGAGTATTTAGCCTGTGTCGCTAACTCGGACCTGCATCACTGTGTAAAGATAGCTCAGTGTAATATTTCATATTTATGAACACAGGTGAGTGCTTCCTGCACATGGTCTCACTGATATAGTCTCAGTCTCTCAGTGAATTGTCTGTTTTTGTTTGTGTATTTTCAACCATCTTAGATGGCATAGTATCGATTCACTAGTTGACAAAACCGACGCTCTTTTTTTGGAAAGCTAGCAGTGGTCGGCAGGGACTCTCACCCTGTGACAGACTCCAACTCCACCGTATTGGACAGTAGTCGTTCATTGTGGGAGGATAAACCAAAACAAGAAACCGCTCATCCAGCTGGACTCAGCAGGAGACTCACTGTGCTATCCAGTTGGTCATATTGCCCGATTCATTTGGCAGCGCATAGCTATCCAGATCAGAAATGGCTTCACTTTTACTTTTGCATTTCCCCTTGAGACCAGCTCTTAATTACATGATTTATCTGTTAGTGAATTAAATGAGTTTTAATTGTGGAAGAGTGTTTGAATTCATTACAACATAATGGACAGTGTGTAGTAGAGGGATATTAGAAAACATAAGGGCACTCTATTTATTTTTACTGTGTTGTAACACTGACAGTGATGCCAAACATTTTTCTGAGAAACCTGATCAGTGCTTGATGGAGAAGAAGCTTTTCACACTGAAAACATGACTGCCTTTGAACATAGCCACTGGCTGGAGGAAGACTGCTGGTGATGGTGTCTGGGGACCTCTAATGAATGGAGTGAAGGAAAAGTTTCAGCATAAACAAAATAAGTTACCCCTAGTTTTTTTTGCGAATTTTAGAATTTTTGCACACTTCTTATAATGTTGCCTGCCACATGTGAACATTTGAGTCCACTCGCATGCTTCTCTGAAGTTCTGCTGCAACAAACTGCAGTTCAAGGAGGTGGAGTTCGAGTCTGTCACAGGTTTTTGGGATGTGTTTAGTTTTCCTATTTGGATGTTGGTGGTCGGATTGTGATGGTCAGCACGTCATATTTGTCCCATGTGTGAGTTATGGAGGAATATTTATTCATTCTGATCCCCCAAAGAAACTCGTGATAAACTCTGAGAGCTCGTACAGGTTTTAAAGTTCAGCAGACCACAAACTATGACCAGACTCTATGTTTTGGAGCAAATTAAACCTGGGATGCTAAAACAAAAATCAGAATCACATTCATTTTGATGAGTATTGTGATCACAACTGATCATTCCTTTAGCTTGTTAACCAAAACTTGCTCCTCCGACAATCTTGGTTAAAGCTGACCTGCCAAAATGTTTTTTTAGGAGTGAGTCTGATCGTTAAAGAAAAGTGTTTATATGGATTTATAGCAAAAAAGTGAATGCACAATAATGTTGCGTTGAGAATTCTTGTTATTGAATGTAGATTTAGTGTGAATTGCACAACCTTAGATTAAAATCTTCTTAGGATGTGTGATCTGCATAAGAATCACGTAGCCGAGTTATGGCCACTTATTTATTTATTTTATTATTTAGCCACAAAAACATAATTACAGCCTTTTTATTATTGTCACTACTCAGCTTTTTAGATGTGGAACTAAAATAAGAATATACACACACATGCTGTTTTTATTTACCTCCCGAGATGCTGAATTTAGGCCCTAAACATTAGTTGTTAATGACTTTTATTTGTTTAAATGTTCTTTTGAGCAAAAAGGTAAAGTTCTGCTGGTGAAATATGAACTGGGCATCCTCAAAGTATCTGTGTAGTACAGTGAAAAGAGTCTAAATACTGATCAACAGTTTCATGACTGAAGTGGTTAAAGACGTTTAAAAAATTTGAGATGAATGTTCATTGTGGCCCATTTGAACCTCTCTAGGTTAAAACACAGTCTAAAAAGTTATAACCTGAACAAAGTCTGAATAATGTGACTGATAAGATAAATAAATCAGAGAAGTCGTATAGGCTGGTGGAAAAGTGACTGTCTAGTAAATGATGAAAGGAAGACCTTACATATATATAAGATGGTAAAATAAGCACTGACATAACCACACTCCAGGAGAAGTGTCAGACACTTGATGGGAAAATGTGGTTAGCTGGGTTGATGTACAGGTGAGAGCAGTGAGGAATAAAACAGCCTTTCAGGTTATCAGCATAAAAGTGTCAGTTCCCTGGATGTGAGGCAGGTTCAGTCGAGTCCTGCTACAATCTCAAAGACAACATGTTGTTCTTATCAGTAATCTTGTTTGCTGCCTCTTAGGATCAGAGCGCTCCTCTCACATACAAACAGCAGAGATCTCATCAGGCCTGCGGGCCCTTCTCTGTCTCATATCTCCTTATTCTAAAGTGAAATCATAATTTTAGTTTAGCCTCGGGGCCAGAAGTGTTTGCTTCTCACAGAGAAGAAAGAACCAAAAATGTCATTCATTTACCACTGATGACACATTTTTAATTAAGGTAACAGGCTTTACTTATCCAACAAGTTAGGGAATTCCTAATAAATAAGGTGCGAGACAAAAGAGCTCAAAAAGGTAAAAATAAAATTACACAAAAAGAGCAATTAAATGGGGAAAAAGTAAAATGAACTATGAAAACTTTGGTAACCAGCCTCTCTAATGAAACATCTGATAATGTACACTACTTCTTCTGCCTGCGATGTTGGTAATAATCGCCTTTCCTCTGCCCAACAGGCCTTTTCAGTATTCTTTGTGTGTGTGGCGTTTACCTCGGACATCATTTGCCTCCTCTTCATCCCAGTGCAATGGCTGTTCTTTGCTGCCAGTACCTATGTGTGGGTGCAGTATGTTTGGCACACAGGTAAGGCTATGCAGTGTTGACCTTTTAGGGATATTTTGTATGTTTAAAAATTAAATGTAATATTTAAAAAATTAAATCCATTTTTAAATAAATGCTGGTTGACCATATTTTTATCACAATCTTTCCTTTTGTTTGGGTTTTTTTTTTTTTTTTGTTCTCGGGATGTAAATGTGTGCTGTAAATCATTCACTCATGAACTGCTAAAATAACTCATCCTTTGTAGTCACGCTTATCACCACTTAAAAACAACCGTCCCTTCAGGGGAAAAGCAGGTGTGAAGGCGTTGTGCGACTCTCGGTTACTCTCTGTCGTTGTATTTACAAATAGTTGTTTCTGAGAATTTTGCACGCCATGTGTAAGCAAGCTGGCCTCTGAGGATTAGTTGTCAGTCTGATTTAGCGGGGTCCCCCTGAGCTGACCGAAGGCCGGGTGTCAGATTGAAATGTTAGTGCCAATTTGGGGCGGGGGAACTGAAACTGGCTCCCAGTTGCTTTCTGAGCTCTCCAGCCGTACTCACCAGTGACATTCAGACCGAGAGGACATCACAGGAGTATTAATATCCCCCAGCTCTCCACAGCCTAGTGGGAAATCAGTGTTTAGAGCCCCTGAAACAATGGTTACCGTCTGTATTCTGACCACCCCATGTTGGAAATCTTACTGTACTATACTGTTTTATGTGCAGTTAACAATTCACAAACATGTCCATAAACATATAAACTGTATGCTTGGGGTGGGGTGGGGGGGGTGTTAATGGCTGACATCATTTCCATAAAAATGTGATGCTACAAACACATTCCCATCTATTTTCATGCTGATGACATTGATTAGTTGTTGAAATTCCTTCTTCAACATGCATTTTCCGTGTGCACCTCTCTATGAAAAAGTTCGTGCTTTTTGCACTTCTGAAAATGTTTAAAATTGTAAATGAATCCTTAAATTATGATATTGTCTCAGAGTTTGAATCTGAGATGTTGGTTGATCCGATACTGATACCTTCAGGTATCCACAGATACAGAGTCCTGTTCTGATATCAGTGTTAAATTAAAAAACTGTGAGGGGAAGACGCTTTAGTGTTCAGCATTGGTTGTTGATCTTCTCGTCCAACAATGGTTGTGTTGAACCATGAGCCTCTACTTCAGCATTTCCTAAACTCAAATAAATACAAAAAGTTGATGCCTTAGGCACTTTTTTTTTTTTAAATATTTACTGCTTTGTAAATGAGTCATGCTCTCACATCTTTGTGCTGCTTTGCTTTTTCAGAGAGGGGGGTCTGTCTACCCACCGTGTCTCTATGGATACTCTTTGTGTACATCGAGGCAGCCATCAGATTCAAAGACCTGAAGAACTTCCACGTGGACCTGTGTCGCCCTTTTGCTGCACACTGGTGAGCCACTATTCTGTTACAGCTTAAGTTCACTGTCTTGAACGCAGCTAACAGATATTTTTTTAGGTAAAGATGAAAAAAAACAAGTGTATGAACTATAATGTTCACACTGCTTCATTCAGTACATAAAACCACTAAGATCATGTTTAAAAGTACACAATACATCTAAATGTGCCTTATTGTGTACGTTTAAACATGACACGTGACCAAGTCTACACGTGTAAGCATGATTCATCTGCTTACACTTAAAGAGTCTTTGTATGCAGATGTCTGCACATTTTCCTGGTGTTTCCAGGACTGCACTGATCTTTGACAGCAGGCTCCCTGTGACTCTTATTTTTAATTTGTTCTGTTCAGTCAGAGTTAAGTGAGAAAGTAGAAGGATGACAGTCGGGAAGCTTTTATTCAACTTACCGTCACGTAACGTGTCTCCGTGTGTGAGTATGTGAGATGAAAAAGGAAAAGAATGCCTGCAAATGACAAAGCCTGACGACTCTAATTTTGATATGATACTGGTCCAAATAAATTAATCCTGGTCCTGTTTTTATTTATTTATTGTTACTGATGAATACCAAATACCTGCATTTGTATTTCTGTGTGAATTTATTTTTGAACTTTTTTCCCCTTTTTATGAAGTTGGCAAAGAGATTTTTGAAGTCACAAAGTGCTTCCCACACATAGATTTTACTTGGAGGTACATTAGTGTCTGCATAAGCATATTTTGACTGTTTTAATTGTTTTCATTAGGAAAAAAAAAATTGGAGTAAAAAATTGTAGTGACCCTTCATCTGTGCCCAGTGACCTCATGAATGTGCGTTTTGTGTTCGTCTCTGTAGCATCGGCTACCCCGTGGTCACGTTGGGCTTCGGCTTCAAGAGCTATGTAAGCTATAAAATGCGCCTCCGGAAGCAAAAGGAGGTGCAGAAGGAGAATGAGTTTTACATGCAGCTTCTACAGCAGGCTCTGCCTCCAGAGCAACAGATGCTTCAGAGGCAAGAGCGCGAAGCCGAAGAAGGTAAGATTCAAACCTGCACACATGCAGAAATCTCGTTATGTCCTTGATTATCTTCTCACTCCGTCCATGCTGTGGTTGTTAGCTCGCTGCCCTAAGGCAGTGATTCGATTGTTCATGGTTTAAGTGGTTAGGTCTCCAGGTCTACACAGGAAGTGATTCCCTTGTTGTGTATTGTTTGATAGCTGACAGAGGTGACCTTTTCATTGGTAGTTTCTCACCTCGTAATTTGTATTCCCAGGGGTTATTTCACTCACTGTTGTTTGAAGTCCCTTCATGTTGGGTCTTTGGGCTGCTAATCACTTCCCGTGTGGACGCCTTGATTGTGCTTCATTGCGAACACGGGCAGCCGAGTAGTTGTTCCAGTTTTACTTATTTGAATTCTGCCACCTGGAAGATGTATAGTAAGTGCTATAATATTAGTAAAGATGGATGAAAAGGTAAAGTCTTGTCTAGATTTAAACAGTGTGCTTCAGTCATTCAGATAAAAACAACTTTTCCATTTTGCAGTGCACTTTCCATTTTATCATTTTAATGGTTCATGTGTTTGGCGCTCTGGTACTATCAGGTAGTTCTGAGCAAAGAATGTAATGTCTGTCTGGTGATTTAGCTTGTATGGCTCAATGTGGCTCCACTCTATGACTACAAAGTTCTTTTTTTATTTTTGCTGTGAAACATGGAGGCCGATTTTAGTTTTAGAGGTTTGATCCTCTTCATATAATTTTGAACCTCCTTTCTAATCACAGCTTTGGTAAAGCTCTCATTTGTTTCTCATGAATCATTTCAGTCAAATAAATCGTACGTCTTCCCTTTCTATCCAAAGTGTGTGGTCACATGTGCACCTGCCTCAAAGTTTAGATAAACACTCCTTCCACTCAGTCACCACATTGGGTGTGATTAGGCAGATGTGTGAGGAGCTGGTGTGAAAATGATGTGAGGTCGTAGCCACAGTCACTTTTTTCACAAATAAAACACCTGAGCCTGCTGTCAGTGTTCACAGGTGTAACTGAAAGTCCTGTTTCAGATATAACATATGGAGGCTTGCATATATACTTTATATAATGATGATGTAACAGGTAAAGAGTAAGTGCAGCATGTTCATAATTAATGCAAATTACAGTACAAACCATCAAGGCCAGAAGTTCAGTTTCAAACACGCAGGCAGCAAAGAGGCGGTGCCAAGAACGAGGTCGAACACAGCAACACTCGCTTCTGTGATAACAATAAAGGCTTTCAATGAAAGCATTGAGAGAGTTTAATGAGCACACATGTTCATCTGTATGCATGCAGGTGAACTGCTGCTATTAACTTTGCCTGAATTTTTGTAGCCGTTGCACGTCACTCAGCTAGAGCTCAGTGAAAATATACGAGGGTCGAGCAAAACCGATCTGTTGGACATAAATGGACTTTTAACCCTCTGGAGTCGACGGATGCGCCGGCGTGTCCAGATCACGTAACAGATTTAAGATTATGTATCAACAAGACCCAGCCTCACTGAGACTCTGTTTAAACACGTGTTGAAAGTGCAGACTTCAAACTATGTACCAGTTTTTACATTTTGTTGATAGGCCAATAAACCAGACTTACGATAAATAATTTAAACTCGGCTTTTTCCTGAAAACTGTCTCATTTGGTGCAGGAAGAAACTGTATAACAGTTTTCTAAGGATAGCCTCTTTACTATTGGTGAAAAATGCATCAACCAATCAGAAAATTACATGCCAACACCAGCATGTGGTTGCTGAGGAAGAGGGGAAAATTGTGGGAATGATAGCGGTGAAAGGGAGACGAGTTTTGAGATTTGAGAGTTTAGTGACATTTAATTGTTTGCAGTGTGTAGTCGGTGTGTAGTGTGGACTTTTTTTTTTAAAATTTGTTTTGTGTGTCAAAACAATGCGGCTACTGCTGAATGTCACAGACTCTGGCCAGAAAGCCACTGGAGACAGATTGAAATGTAAACGCTGTCTCCAGGTGGACATCAGGAGTAGATACACCCTTCAGCTTTATTTTGAAAAGTTTATGTGGAAAATAAACAAGCGGATGGCGGAGCCAAGCGATGGTTTTACCGTCGTTGTTGCTAACGACAACGCATAAAAACAGTCGCTTGTCTGTCCGTAGTGTGGTTATTTTAAATATAAGACAAAGATAGAAGTTTAAGAAATTCTACAGTGACCATCAAAACGATGCTGTAAACAGTTTATTTTGCTACACCACGAGGCAAGCAATAGCATAATAGGAAACGACAGACGTTTTCATATCGTCATCCGATATATATCGTTGTGTCGAACAGCCCTACCTGATTGTTTTGTAAGTAGTTGAAAGAACTGACTGAATTTGAATGTAAATTGTTGTAGTTAACTTTAGCTAACCGTTAGCCAGGTTTGTACATATATTTGAAGTTTACATTGTATATTTGCATTTAAAGTCAGGTTTAGTTCACTAAACATGTTTGTGGTTTTCACAGTAAAAATAAATAAATATATTTCGTTTTTTGTGCTATTTTCGGTCCATTGTGTTAATACAGTCTGTCGAAATAGTCCAAAGTCTCTCACACAGCAAGGTAAATGGGTTTATAGGTTAAATATGAAGATAAAATCAAAAGTATTTCTACCCTTGACCCCTGAGGGTTAACGTGTTGTGATTTACGTACCATCACACCTCTAATACACATGAATATTCGCATAAACATTGCTGTGTTTCTGTGCTCCCACAGCGGCGGCGGCAGCTAAAGGTATATCTGAAGTGGACACACCTCCAGTGTCACAGAATGGCGCCCCAGTCAATAAAAAGACATTGGCACAACTGCCGGAGCTAGAATATAGAGAAAAAGGGAAAGAGGGACGAGGGGAAGCTAAAAAACAGCATAACAGCATCCTGCCGTCATCAGTGGACTCTAAACTCCAGGAGATGGAGTATATGGAGAACCATATGAATAACAAGAGACTGAACACAGAGCTGGGCAGTACAGAGAACCTGCTCCTTAAAGAGGACAACAATTCCTCCTCCTCTTCTTCTTCCTCATCGTCGTCCTCCAAAAATTGCAAAAATGCCAGCAGCAACACTGCGGCGCTTAACTCCTCGCCCCGCGGCCACAGCACCACCAACGGCAGCGTCCCCACGCCCACGTCGTCGTTCGCGGGGAAGAACGAGAAGAAGCACAAGCTACTGGTGAAAGGAACGTCGGGCGGCTCCCACAGGGACCCCACCGACAACTGCATCCCCAACAACCAGCTCAGCAAGCCGGAAGCACTGGTTCGGTAAGAAGACACAGACATGGTTTATATTCATAAATGCACCGTTCTGACCTCATCAGCGATATCAGGAGTGAAGCTTCTTTTAAGGATTTCGCCCGACACTGAGGGAAAGCGGCTTATGAGGTTTATTTCAGCCGAGTTCAGTTTTAGCCTCCAGAACATTAATCAGGGAAGGATGTCTTGTAAAAAGTTTAGCAACTAACTGATTTTTATCTCCAGAGGCAGAAAAGGGATCAAACTGGGATCGAAGTGCCGAGCTCGAACTTTAATTTAAGGGATTTAACAAAAGCATCAAATTAACTGTTTACAGATTATTAACATTTGTGTACATATGCAGTAACTTCCTGCTTGTTTCATTTAGCATTCACTGAGATGGTGTACAGAAGAAAACTTTATTTTACCAGTTATTCACGGACCTGACTATATTTTATTTATTTATTTTTTGCTTGTTTTGTATAATTTTGAAAATGATTTTTTACTGGTTTGCTGATATTAACACATCTCCCTGTGATCCATGGTTTCATGTAAAATAGTTTGAAAATGGCAAAAATTTTATTCACGATGATTACGAGTTAAGGCCACTTTTCAAAACGTTGCACGTTTGTTGAACTGTCCTGTTCTTTTCTCCTCATCAGACATCTGACCCTCGTTTTATTCTTCCCGCTGACCAAAAGAAACTCGCCGCCCTCATTCACTTAGGAGGAGAGTCAGAGGTTTTAGAGAGAAGTTCCCTTGTGTAAAGGAATGAGAAAAATAAAAGCCACAGATAGAGGGCAGGGTTTCTCAAATGTTTTTTTTTTTCCTCAATCATCTTGATTTTATTATTGCTGTGGCTTTAACTGCACCTGAATTTAAATGTTGCTGTGCTTCTCAAACTTTGATTTTTGTTGTGTTTCCTTCTCGTGACCTCTGCGTGTTTCTCACCTGTTGTCATGCTCCTGCCCGGGACAGACTGGAGCAGGATGTCAAGAAGCTGAAGGCGGACCTACAGGCCAGCCGGCAGGTGGAGCAGGACCTGCGCAGCCAGATCGGCTCACTGGGCAGTGCCGAGCGCTCTATACGCACTGAGCTGGGCCAACTGCGGCAGGAGAACGAACTGCTGCAGAACAAGTGAGTGCTGCTGCTGCCATCGTGGAGAAGAGTTAAAAACAAACAAACATAAAGAAAACAACTGGGTGAAGGAGCGCGGTGGGGGTTTGCATCGAGAACTTTAGGTTTTGTCTAATAAAATAATAATAAAAATAAAAGTCCCCTAAAAATCTACAGTAAATGTTTGGTAGGGTTGCCTCTGTTGAGGTTTGCCTTCCAGACGTCCTGGGTGGCTGTAGCTCAGGCAGTAGAGCAGCTCATCTACTGATCGGAAGGCTGGTGGTTCCTGGCTTCCCCCAGTCTGCATGCCAAATATCTTTGGGCAAGATACGAACCCCAAATTGCTCTCCGATGCATCCATCGGAGTATGAATGTGTGTGTGAATGTTAGTTAGAAAGTGCTAAGAAAATGCGCTTTTATTAATGGGTGAATGCACAAGTTGTGTAAAGCGCTTTGAGTGCTCAGAAGTGTAGAAAAGCACTATATAAGATCCAGTCCATTTACCTTAGGGTCTCACTTCCTGTTGTGCTAACAAGCTGCTCTGTGGCTTTTGTGCTCCTGTAGGCTCCATAATGCTGTGCAGGCAAAGCAGAAGGACAAACAGACAGTGGGCCAACTGGAGAAGAGGCTCAAAGTGGAGCAGGAGGCCCGAGCTGCCGCCGAGAAGCAGCTCTCAGAGGAGAAGAAGAGAAAGAAGTTAGAGGAGGCCACAGCAGCCAGAGCAGTAGCACTAGCAGCAGCATCCAGGTGTGTACACATCTGGCTCACCAGCTCTGTTACTTGTGGTTTGCTGTGGGCCTCGAGGGTCATTCACCATTCTTTGTGTTTCCCATTGCTCTCAGAGGGGAGTGCACAGACACGCTGCGGCGGCGGATCACTGAATTAGAAACGGAGTGCAAGAAATTAACAATGGACATCAAGCTAAAGGAGGACCAGATCCGAGAGCTTGAGTTAAAAGTGCAGGTACAGGTTTGAGAAATTCACTGTTTGGTTTGACGTATGAGTCCATCAGAGGCTTGGGTCTTTTCACATGCTTCTTTTTACAGTCTTGTGTGCACGGCCACTTCTGCTTTGGGTCTGGTAGCAGCCATCATTGAAAAGTGCGACAGGAAAGTGGAAGTGAGGAAGTAAAATGTAACGTCTGTCATGATGAAGCACTTTGTGCAGAATCTCCGAAAGTTGATTCTGTTCATCTGGACGTAGCGTTTTGTGGGAGAAACGTTTCGTCACTCATCTCATTGTTCCTTCAGTGGGCTGGTTTCAGTCATTATGCAAATGTACTGTTTATAAGGTTGGGGAAAACTGCAGTCAGCCTAGACTGAAGACGTCACTTAGATGAGTGACTAAACGTTTCTCCCACAAAACGCTACGTCCAGATGAACAGAATCAACTTTTGGAGATTTACTTTACTGGATGATTGAGAATGCATCAAGACATTTTGTGCAGGATGAAATTATAAAGTTTTAGATGTTTCTGAGTGTCAGGGTGATAAAAGACTGCAGCAGAAATACTAGCCTGGTCTGTTAAATCTATAATAAAGTTATAATAAAGTCCACATATATGCGTTATCGTTTTGGCCTCCCGTCCACACTGAGACTGTGTTTTCGCTGATGGAAAACGCAGTGTTTTCAAAACGCTCCTGAAAACGCATCCATTTGAAAACGGTGCTTTCACATTGCAGTGTGGACAGTGAAAACGCAGACTTTCTAAAACGATGACGCATGTTAGTCATATGATGCAGCCATGTGACCAATGAAACTAAGATAGCGGAGGGCATTATACAGCAGTTGTTTTGTTTGCTCTCAATTTTGACAGCCCTATTAAAGACTAATATCAGTCTGTACATGCTTCAGATAGCTTTTCTTCAAATTCTTCAACTCTAGCTTTTCTTCAAATTCTTCAACTCTCTCGCTTTTGCAACTTTGTACTTTTGTGTTACTCGCAGCAACAACTCCACCTCATTATTAGTCCCTTTAAAAAAACTCTGTGCTTTTCCTCAACATTTTGCCGCGACGTTTCGAGAGCCGGAAAGTAAATAAACGGCAGACAGAAATGAGGCAGGTCGAATCTTCTTGTGTTTCACGCATGCGCAGTACTGGAACGTAAGCATTTTCACCCGTTTCAATGTGGACGCGCAACTGTGTGAAAACGTGGAGCATTTTCAGACGAAAACACAGTTTTCAAATCTATCCGGGCTAGTGTGGACGTAGCCTAAGTGTGCCTCCTCGCAAACATCCATTGAGCAGTGTTGGAATTAACATAACAAAGTGACTTGTTGGATCTTTTCAGTTGTCCCACAAAAAAAGCTACTGGAATATCAGGTGTGAAAAACCTCCAAACCGCTGACCCTTTCTGCAAACACACTCCCCTCCTGACCCCCACTGTTTCCCTGTCCATCTTTTAGGAGCTTCATAAATATAAAGAAAACGAAAAAGACACAGAGGTGCTGATGTCAGCGCTGTCAGCCATGCAGGACAAGACCCAGCACCTGGAGAACAGCCTGAGTGCAGAGACCAGGATCAAACTGGACCTCTTCTCTGCACTCGGGGACGCCAAGAGGCAGCTGGAGATCGCACAAGGTTCACAAAAGTTCACCGTCCTCAGAGTTCTTTTTTGTTTTAAATGTCTCAGGCTGACTTGTTAAAATCTGTTTTCAGGTCAGATCCTGCAGAAGGACCAGGAGATCAAAGACCTGAAGCAGAAGATAGCAGAAGTGATGGCCGTCATGCCCAGCATCTCCTACACAGCCGACACCAGCAGCATGACCCCCGTGGCCCCCCACTACTCCTCAAAGTTTATGGACACCAATCCCTCCAGCCTGGACCCCAACGCCTCCGTTTACCAGCCTCTCAAAAAGTGAACACCCCCGCCCTCGCCCCCGTCCCCTCCACCTCGCCATCCATCTTCCTGTCCTTTTTACTGCTCCTGCAGGCCCGCAACCTCACGGCTGAGAACCTGAGGGTTTTTTTTGTTTGTTTTTGTTTGGGTTTTTTTTGGTTTGGTTCTCTCCTTGCCAGGTCAGAAGGATGTTGTATTGTGTGACTGTATTTGTTGTAGTTAAAACAAAAGAAAACTTAAAAAACAAACAAACTTGAAAATCCCACATCAGCTAGGAAGCCCCCGTTTTTCTTTTAAGTGTCTAGTGAAACCTCACAGAATCGAGGATCGCTCTCACTCCTCACCTCCGGGGAGCAGTTGCTGTATTTTTCTTTTCTTTTTGGGTTTATCATTCCCTCCACAAACTGGAAAACGGAGCCCTCCTTGATTCTACAGCCTGACTTGTAATCCAAATTAATTTTAACAGCTGTTCTCCCGAGATAGCATCAGAGGAATGTAATGCACTCATGACACCAACTCAACCTCTTTTATTTAAAAAGAAAAAACAATTTGGACACCAAATTGACCCTGCTCTAAGCTGCGTTGGGGATGTGCTGGCGGTAAACAGTTTTTAAGCTGTCTAAACTGGATTTGTTCTTTGTTTTTTGTTTGAAAGGGGGTAAAAAGTGACAGCAGTTTGGTTTTCCCTCTACATTCCCACACCCGGTTGCAGAAACAAGTCTGCTTTCCACTGCTCTGCATAATCCTGCATCACGATTCATGATCACAGTGCCTTGAGGACATGAGTTTAATGAGATGCTGCCCGAACCTTCCGAATGCGTTGAAGCATCTGGCTAAGCTGGAAGAGATCAGTTTAGTGGGACTAAAAACACAGATTTGTTGATCGTTGTGCTCTCTGGACGGCAGCCTTGTAATAAAATGAATCAGATATGTTTGACAGCAACATATTCGAGTCACTCTGACAGACGAACCCCCAAATGCTTTGGTTTAGCTGCTGCCCCCCTCTTTTCTTTTCTCACTGTGGAAAGCACACGTTGCTGTTTGAAAGGGAAAACTGTAAAGATGGACTGTGCAATGTTTAAAAAAAAAAAAAAAAGTAAAAAAAAGGAGTTGAGTTAATTTAATTAACTTCCACTTTGGTTTGTGTGCCAAGACTGGAATTCCTGTGTTGAAGAATGTACTGTGAACGCATTGGCTAACACTTTAACAGCGGTTTCTGTTAAGGAGTCTATGGGCAGTGGTGACCTGTGGTGTAGTAGAGGAAGGTGTATAGTTGACAGTAAGGGACTAGAAGTTTCGTGAATGTCACCGTATTTGCAGCATCTGGCGAGTGGCTGCTTTTTCTTTTCCTCCTGTTTCTGCTCTTCTCGCAGTTTTCCCGCAGGGAGAGAAGAAAGTTCTCGAGTCTGATGTGGTTTCACCGTCATTGTTGTGCGTGTGGTTTTCACCTTACTGTGTATGGAGACGCTTGTTTTTTCTTTCTTTTCTCACTCGCTCAGATTGCTGTCATTGGCTTCTTGGAAAATGTTGTGACAAATTTACATTTTAGTTGGTTGTTTGTTCAGCTGAATGTGGAAAGAATAGATTTTGTTTTTGTTTTCTTTGCCCAAAGTCACAGTTCGGTTGCCCCCCACCCTCCCTCTCTACCCCTCCTCCAGGTCTGACCTTGGCTGCGCTCTCGCTCTGTGAGGTTTACAAGAAATAAACTTTTTTTTTTCTTGCAAACTGACTTCTCTCTTCTTGGTGTTGTTAATTTAACGTGTTTGCAGAGGTAAAACCAACCTGACAGCTTTGATGCATTTCAGTTTCCCTCGGCTCGATCTTTGAAATATTAAACCTCGAAGCTGCTGTGAGCTCTTCAGGCGCACTTTGCCTCAGTTTCATCAGTTTGCGTATTTGTTTTAAAAAAAAAAAAAAATAGAAATAAGGGTCCATGCAGCTTTTTAAAGGTGTACACTTTCACCCTCTTAGTCGAACTCACAGCAATCTGCACAAAAAAAATATTTGGAGCTTTTTTTTGTAGTTTTGCCTCTGTTACAACACCAGTGGATTTTAAACCAAACAATGAAGATGTGATTTAAGTGCGAACTTCAGCTTTAAGGGGTTTAATTAAAGTTTTGCATAAACTGTTCAGGAATTACAGACATTATATACGGTCCCCCATTTTTCAGAGGATCAGGCATTAGACTGACGGGGGTCTGACAGAGAGGTGAGTTCAGTTTTGTTATTTCATGACAAATTAAGCAGATAAAATGATCGGGAGTCGATTCCAGGTCACTTAAATTCTCACTATGACATCCAAAGAGATGTCAGCGCAAGTGAGAGAGGCCAACATGAGAGGAAGAACTACAGAAAGGACCAATTTAAGAGTCTGAATGCACTGACCAACTCAGATAACCCATATGGAAAAGATATATATAAATCTTATAAAGTTTGTATCTGTCTTGTGTGAAACTTGTATGAAAAGCATACAAGAGTGAAAACAGATATAAGATACCTTGAAAAATTATATAACTTGTATGTTTTGGATACTTACAAAAAAATATAAGTAATGAGAAAGTGGCCACTTTCATGAGTAAATCATGTAAGTTTTTACTTTTTCCTTTTCCATATGGGAAGACGGAAGAAAGAAGAAGAAAACTAAAGTGCGTGATCACAGAATTCTTTCCTTGGTAAAGACAAACATGTTGTAGTTGCATCATTGTCAAAGTGGACAGTCAAAAGATACCTTCATGAATGGGGGGAAAACAAAAACAAAAGTGCAAACCACTGGTTACACTGACAAACACGAAGAACAGATTAAACTTTGCCAGGAAAAGAAAATCCTAAACAGTTCAGAACAAGAACATTTGGAGGGATGAAACAAAGATGAACTTGTACCAGAGTTATATGAAAAAGATGAAAAGCTGCTCATGCACATGTATGTCTGCCAGTGTGAATGGGTGATGAGCCAAAGCAACCTGAGTTTCTCAAAGGAAAGGAACGGCAAATTCTTCAGTTACATGATCTCAAACCAACACGGCAGCGTTTGATTTAATAAACAGAAAACGGAAGGCTGAGAGATCTGAAACAGTGTAAAAACTTGCTGTGGCCCCTTTGTTATTTTGGAGTTTGCCCAAATGCACCATCTCCCTTTTACCACTAGAAGGCAGTGTCAGTCTGATCAGTGATCACTTCTCTCCACAGGAGTTCTGCTCATTCACTCTGCAAATAATCATTATATTTCCCTCTTTTTAAGACCTGTTACGACCCGGCTCAAAAGCCGCAACATAAAAAAAGTTGAAGTTATTCAACTAAAAGAGACGGACAAGCCGTTATCACCATAAAAGAAACAAACAAAACTCAGGCGTTGGTCAATAAAGCACAAAGTCAAAAGGAAAGAGCAGCTCACTAGCTGAAAACCACAAAACACAGCTCACTCGCTGGAAACACCGCAAAACACTCAGCTCACTAGCTGTACCCACACACAAATGGCACTCTGGCCCAGAGCTCACCCTGCACGGGGCTTAAATACCCTTAATTGCTGATGGGAGTCAGCTGCACCGGAGGGAAAGGTGGCATCTCAGGCAGGAGGTAGTGGGACACGCCCACACAGGCACCCTCAGGAGGAGGCCCTGCTAGGGCCGTAACACCCCCTCCCATAAATGCAAACCCCTGGTTTGTCAAATCACAATAACAAAAAGTGAGTCCATAGCCGTGTCAGGAGGAAATGCAGGCTTGCCACCTACCAAACCGCGTAGCAACGGTTAGGCATTGCCCACGGAAGCTGCCAACCCCATCTCAATGGGTTCAAAATACTTACTGAGGGTGGCCGCAGACCCTCAAAACAATGTCTCATGTGATAGCCAGGGCTTTTTTGAGCCATCACATGTGGAGAACACAGCAGGCAGTCAGAAAACCTTACTGTAACAGTTTTCAGACGATTGCTCAGGTCACGGGTACTGGCATGTTTGTTAGTCAGGGGTGCAGGTCTGAGTGGTGGTGTTATACATGATCTGTCCACCTGCATGTCATTTTGAGGAACTGGGACATTGTCAACCAGCAGCAGCTCAGGGTTAGGTGACCTCTCACACTGACTACATGACACGATTGAGCAATTATGCTCCAAGTGTAGCCTTTTACTAGGCCTGGCAACCTGGTCGGTTTGAGAACCACGACTAGCTTTTCTCAAAGCAGGCACTTTTTGCTTTGAGTCTGCTTTCCGTTTGAGTTTCAATTTTGAACAGTCAGCAATGAGGTGTCCAGGGTTGTGGCAGAAGAAACAAAGCTTTGTTTTGGGTCTCGAAACCACAACTTTTTCAGCCTTGTTAGCTGGCTCCCTCCTAGCTCTCCAAGATGTGTTACCGTGAGAAGGGATGTCACATTCCACTGCGTTTGTTTTATGAGTTAGGGTAAACCCATCCGCCAGTATGGCAGCCTGCTGTAGAGTGGAAACCCTTTGCTCACTTAAATAACAAGAAATAGACTCAGGAACCGAGTTTTTAAAATCTTCCACCAGCATAAGCTCACGTATGGACCCCACGTCGTTAACCTGGCTTGCAGCACACCACCTATTAAAGAGCTTTGCCTTCTCCCTAGCAAAGTCAAGGTAGGACTGACCCTGTGCCAACTCCAAACCTCGAAAGTTCTGCCTATAGGCTTCAGGTAGGAGTTCATGGGCTTGGAGGACAGCACTTTTAAGCTTTTCATAAACTAAGCAGTCCTCCATTGACAAAGCAGAACAAACCTCCTGAGCCTTACCTGTCAACTTACATAGTAACATCACGCACCACATGTCCTGAGGCCATTGCAGTGCGGTCGCTATGCGTTCAAAGGCAATAAAGAAGCTATGAACATTGGACTCACAGAAAACGGGAACCAGGTGGATGTTATTGCTCATAAACGAGCCTCTGGACACCTGTTCACCAACAGATGTAGGCCCAGTGCTCGTCAGCTCCAGCTGATTCAACTGGAACGCCATTCCAGCCTGAAAAAAAACCCACCACCACACACGCACCTGTGCCAATTCTCACAGGCTAGCCAACAATTAATGGTAACCGAACAACTTTTTCTCCTTGACCAACTTACCTTCTGCTACACACACCCATACAACACACGACCTACCCAGTTCCTGAGCACAACAAACTTGCCTACCTATCTTCTGGAGCGTGCTGGGCTCGAGGCAACTTGAAAGGCAGAACTTCAGCGACCGGGGCCCTGAATTGCCTACCCCCACCCAGGATAGCCACCAAACACAATAAACTAAAACAATAAAGCAAAACAACAAACAAGTGCTTCGATGGAAGGGCAGCACAGCCACCCAGCTGAAACACACTAACTAAAGGGAGTTTGCACAATTACAGTGACCACCATCACTCACCCACTTAAAAGCAAAACAAACTGACATTCAGTCTCCACTAAAATGTCCAAAGATCCCGGACGAGCCCCCACTTATGTTACGACCCGGCTCAAAAGCCGCAACATAAAAAAAAGGAGATGAATAACAGAGTGTGGGTGAGAAGAGGTTTCATCCTAAAATGGAAAACCAGGTTGGCTAGAATGGCTGGTGCCACCAAGGCAAAGACTAGTGCACTGCCAGAAAGCTTGCCTCAGGTATGCTTTTATCCACACCTGACTAGGTGTGGCCAATTAGCACCAGCTGAAAACACTGAGATGATTAGAAGCTGCAGAGGGACGTAACAGACCATAAATCACATTTTATTCTGATAAAAGAGTTGGTTATTATTATTTATGCTTATTTATGGTAATAATTTGAGATGGACATTCTTTGGCCACAAAAAGAGGGAAAAGCTGGTCATTAAAATGATCATTTCTTGCAGGACTGGATGAGTCGTTTCTCTACCTAAATATGGACACGTGAGGGATGCCTTTGCTTTCCTGACCTTTGGCCCTGGAAGTTCATTCAGATCAGGAATGACACTTCCTGAGGTTTGTGGGGGTTAAGATTCCCGCTGTCAATGTCAAGCACCCCTAATTTCAAACAGACGCCCTCTCAGGAAGTGTCACGTGCCAAGCTTCCTGAGATATGTTTGATCAACCCATGCATTGAGACTAACTGTGCTTAGATTGGTAATAAATCTGTTTTTAAACCCATCTGCTCCATGCTCTTCCACTTCCTGTTTAACAGGGTCAAACGTGGAACTGGCAAATTATGATCATTAGAAATTGCCCACAGTGCCATTAAGCATCTGAAATCTACAGTTAATCCTCCCGTTTGAAGGGAAGGAGGCATAAATAAGATAAAATGCAGATAAAGCTTCTCTTGAGTTACTCGGTTTGACATTTTTTTTCTTGATTGAAAACACTTTCACCCTAAAGGATTAGAAAAAGATTATTTTTGCAGACGATCATTGAAGCTTTGGTGAGCTTGCAGCAGAAACACTCCCATGCTTGCTCTGAGGGTTGCTTACTTGTGTTTGTCCTCATGTATAATTAAACTGTGTGTGTTTTGGCTCTTATACTCACCTTCAGAGTGAAGAACCAAAACATGCGTCTTCTCTCCCCTCTGGCAGAAACTCTCTGATCTTTCTTCTCCAACTAGTACTGCTGCTTCCTTAAAAGCCAGGCTTCGTGCTGCATGCTTCAGTTTACAGTCACTCTTTGTCCCATTGCATGGAGGCACAGTTGTATCTGCTAACAAAGAAACAGTGATTTAAAAGGAATTCACCTGCCTGAGCACAGAGGGACTTAAAGCAGTGATCAGTCTCTCTAGAAACTATTTTTTATGCT